TTGGCAGGAGCAGGCTGCAGACGGTGGAACTAATAAGGCTTAATTAAACAAAGCCTTCAGAAGTAAATGCTGTGACATGCTGGCAACAAGTTTCTTTAACCTGTCACAAAGCAAGCGTGCTGTTTACTTTAGGAGTAAGCTTGGTGCTGTATCTTCAAGAGAATAATTGTGCTCTTGTTTGAAAGTTGTTCTTGGGCAGTTTCTGCTCTATCTGGGCTTATGCAAAGCCTGGGTCGCAGGGTCAAGTTAATTAAATCTCAGTGCAGCTGAGCTGACTCTGTGTAGATCGGCTGCTTTCTTCCAAAGTGGTGTATGTGACAGGCAAAGGCAGAGGTCATGGTGATACACTACAGCAACTCTCAATGTAATGAGTGAATTAATGCTGAATGGCCTGGTTGTTTTTTCAGTTTGATTTGGAAAGCTTTTGCTGCTCTTTCCCACCTTGGCCAGTTTGCCAGCAAGGCTTTTCTCAAAAGCACGTCCCCATTTAAGCAGCCATTATGGAGCTGGCTCTCGAGGAAACTTGCCTCCTGAAAGATTTTTCTGACATTTTTTTGCTCAAAGGATCCTTTTTGCTTACAATAACGGCTTTAGTTACAAAGTAATGGATGGGATCTTCTTGCTTCCAAGGCTAAACCGTGCCTTAGTAGGTCAGACCTCATTCCTAATACCCCAGTGTTCCTCCCCTCGACGCAATAGGCGAGAGTCTTGCAGAGCCGTTTGCTTGCAGTCAGCCTGGAGTGAGCGCTTGATGGGGTAGGGAGAGGAGTGACTTTAGGGGGGATATCCCTGCTCAACCCTCCAGAGCTGCCCCCAGTTCTGCAGTACCACGACGCTTGTGATCGCTGGCTTTCAGTCCCAGCAGACTACCAGGATGTGCCCCCACCTTTGGCATGACAAGCGAGGCAGTGGGCTGGGGCTGTCCAGCTCTGCTCAGCCCTGGTATGAGAGCACAGGAGTGAGAAGGAAGAGCTGTTCTTTTGTGCTTTGAGAGGAACGGTTGGTAAGGGTAGGGAGGAGACCTCTTGGGGGTGACACTCTTTACTGAGTACTGTGCTGGAAAGACATCTTAATTCTTCTGGTTAATGATTTCCGTTGATTGCTGAGGTGATAGCTAATGTGGAACTACTTAGGAATTAAATTTAAAGAAGGAATAATGAACTTGAAAGAGCAGCTACCTTGTATCACTTTACTGAAAATACCCATATTTATTCAGGATGAAAAAAATTATCAGTGATGTTCAGCGATCTTTGGTTCTGCACATAACCTCTACTGAAAGAAACACTGAAAATTCTGCTTTGTCTCATACTTACAGAGAGAAAAAACTTTCAGATTTGTGTAAGTGGGGTGTATGTGGGTTTTTTTCTTCTTTTCCTGTGGA